CAGAACAAGATGCTGGAGACCAAATGGAAACTTCTCCAGGAGCAGACCACCACTCGCTCAAACATAGATTCCATGTTTGAGGCCTACATCGCCAACCTGAGGAAACAGCTGGACAGCCTGGGCCACGAGAAGGTCAAACTGGAGTCAGATCTACACCACATGACAGGGCTCGTCGAAGACTACAAGAACAAGTATGAGGGATACAATAAGCCAATGTGTTATAAGAGGTTGTGGAGACGTAACTGATTTTGAGATATTTGTTTTTGTTTTAGATATGAGGAGGAAATCAACAAACGTAATGACTGCGAGAACACTTTTGTGCTGATGAAGAAGGTAATTAATGTACTATAATCCTTAGGCCACCTGCAGACACTGTGGTTTGGGGCAGAATTTGGGACATTTGAGGAAGATGTTAAACAATTCTTCTGCATTACATGGCTTAAAATCTATTTTGTTCAAAATATTATCATCATGATATCACCACACCTGACCCATCTGTAACTTAATTAACTAAGACTGAGATGAAATAGTCATTGGCAATCATCTAAACATGTCCTAAGCAGCAGTTAGCCCCACAGCAAGAAGGTCCTGGGTTCGACTCCAGAGCAGCATGGAACCTTTTTGTGTTGAGTTTGCGTGTTCCCTCTGTGTTTCCCCTACGACTTAAAACATTCTCAATAGGCTCCCTTATGGAACCTAGTGTGATTCATCAGCCAGTTTCACTTCATAGAAACTGTGACCTCGCAGTGTTAGGATTCGTTCGCTCGACGGTAGGCGGGTACTTTTTTTCATTTAACCAATCGCTGCTGTTTGGCCGCGATGTATGTAATGCACCGCTAACGGGGCTAACTGGTATATTAAGCTTTATCCAAATCCCAAAGGAAGAAGAACAATAACATCTTTCCCCTTGAAATTCACCAAACATTCTCTTTATTCCATCTTTAAATCCTTGATCTTGGGAATTGTTGACAACACTGAAGATATGGCCCTTCACTGATTAGCTGGTACCCGAACTTGCACTTCCGGGGTTTTTTGTGAACAGCCTAGTGTATTTTGACTCCTGAACTAGTTGCTGGAGTGAAATGAAATTGAGTGGAGGCAAAAGGTGGCACCAGCCTGACTATATGGAACCAACTCTCCCCTGAAAATACAACTTCAAATCTCAGTGGGACATTCCTGGTTAAATAAAAAAATAAATAAATATAATTTTGATTTATTCTTTATCGAACCATCATATAAACCTATTTCGTTATACCATAACCCTGATTAACAACATACTCTTTAGTCAATGGTAAATACATCTTCTTCCCTGTAGGACACAGATGCAGCGTACATGGTCAAAGTGGAACTGGAGGCCAAACTGGATGCTCTGAGCGACGAAATCAACTTCCTCCGACAGATTTACGAAGCTGTAAGAGCACTTTGAGATGATGACCCATGTTATTGTGCAGATTAGTGTTTGTTGTGTGTTTTTGTAGATGTTACTGTGCTGATTACTAATGTGTGTTCGTAGGAGATTAGTGAGCTCCAGGGACAGATCAAAGACACATCAGTCATTGTGGAGATGGACAACAGCCGGAACCTGGACATGGACGCCATCGTGGCCGAAGTCAGAGCTCAGTACGAGGACATCGCCACCAGAAGCAGAGCTGAAGCTGAGACATGGTACCAGTCTAAGGTAAAGCACAAGAAAGAAACCGGTCTATTAGCCACTTCTGTTCATATCAGCCAATCACAGAAGAGCAGGTCAGTCCTAAGACACAAAGATAAACTGAAAGAACTGAAAGAATTGAAAGAAGTCCTGGTTTAGTTTAAGTGTGGAGCTGCTGTGATCTACAATGCTAACAATCTAAAAATATCATGGCTGTGGTTATAAGTACTAAAGAACACTTAAAGAGTTTCCTGCTTTGACTCTGTCAGGAAGTGAGTCCTGTGGAATCTGTGGAAGAGAAGCTGAAAATACTTAGTCACATTATCACAAGTGCCCTCTGTGATCATAATCACATTTACACAGTATTGTATTGTAATGTCAAATGTAAAGTATTGTATGTAGTGTTAAAGACTTACACAAAAATGGATTTTCGGTTTTGTCCAGAAAAAAGTATAATAGGCAGGACTCCTAAAAGTTAACAACTAGCTGCTATAATGAAGAAATATTTGTATGTGAAAATTATTAAGCTCAAATTTGATCTCTGACCCTTATTTGTCAGTTTCTGGTCTCTGCCTTTGTATCGTGAGCCAAAAATAAGGAGTCGTGCAAAAGTCACCAAGGTTCAGTCATCATGTGTTTGTTTGAAATGATCTAGAAGAGCTTTGGATTTCCTGTTTAGTGTTGATCAGGATCGTGCGGCGACACTTACACAGTGAAACAGTTTGACACAAGTGACTTTGCAGTATAGTGTGTACAGCATGAATAAATACACCAAGTATTTTCTTTTCACACTGAAGATCATTGAAGTACAAGTGAATACAAAGGTTTATTTATTGAATGTGTTAAGACCCTGTGCCAAGGCCACAACAAAAAGAAGGAGGTGAGAGGCTGGATTTGAAAATAAAATATATTTATGAGCTAAATCACAAACAAAACATACACTGTTTCTGCCTTTGGCCTTTGCACGACTCCTTATTTTTGGTTCATGATACAAAGACAGAGAACAGGAACTGACAGTCACAATATTTATTCACATGATAAAGCAGGTCTCAAATACAAACAAAGTGACATGAACTCATTTTTGACCAAACATGATTTTACAGCATTCTGACTCTGTAGGACAAAACTGTATACTGCCCCCTTGTGGTGGTGTAGCTGCTTCTTGAAGGTTTACTGTTTGTACAGAATAACTTAAATGCTGTTTAATGCTGTAAAACGAGGTAACTCTGGTCAAAGCATCTTTATGGAGTGTAGCGAGTAGATGCAGACTTCTGTTCGCTGTCATCTGTGTTGATTTTATGGAAACTTTTGAGTCAGAAATAAAGTATGTGTGATTCATAGTTTAGTCCAGGATTTGCCCCTATTTAGTATTCTCTATTTTTAGTAGTTGCTCATTAAAGTTGCTATTATGTTCACGCTCTGTTTAAAATCCTGTGTGTACAGTTTGCAGAGATGCAGCATTCTGCGGGCAAATTCGGAGATGACGTGAAATCGACCAAAGCCGAGATCGCAGACTTGAACCGGAGGATCATGAGGCTCCAGTCTGAGATCGACATGGCAAAACAACAGGTGAAGGGCTGCTCTTAGCACTGCAGTCTGCACGTTTTCAGATTCTAGAATGTGATGATGTCCCAGATAAAGTCAGTTTTCCTTTTGATTACATTTCACTGTACCATGAAATCTCCTAAAGGTAAATTCACAAATGTTGAGCCTGATCACTTTTATTAGGGACAAGACCCAAAACCACAACACAAATCTGCATTTGAACTATATTCACTCAGGCTACTCCCATCTGTATTACATATTATTGGCTAAGAGAATGTTGCAATGCCATTTAAAGCCCAGTAAATAAGTTAAGTTAATTAAGTTAAGTTAGTTAAGTTAAGAGTTAATGGACTTCCCCCATCCACAATAGTTCAAGTACCGCAACAGCTTCTACTGTTGCAAATATTCTTTCTCCTGCTTCACATTTAACCCATATTCTGGACTGATTCCCAGTACAAAATAGCAACTGTTATGTTTATTACTGCTACAACTGCTTATTTGCTTCTATTGCAAAAATGCCCAATTTTTATTTTTTTTTTTTTGAGTAATACATACAAACCTGAACATGTACATAACATATGTACATGTCCATGTTTGGACCATTTCTGGTGCTCAAAAGGAGGAGGTGTCTGCCCCAGTTGTTCACCTTAACATGTGGTTGACATACATACATACATACACACACACACATACATACATACATACATACATACATACATACATACATACATACATACATACATACATACATACATACATACATACATACATACACATACATACATACATACATACATACATACATACATACACATACACACATACATACATACATACATACATACATACATACATACAAATATATGTACATACAAACCTATACATACACACATACATACCGTATTTTTCGGACTATAAGGCGCAGTGGATTATACAGTGCATTAAGTGACACTTGAGACTGATCCTTAGCCTATACATCCACGATCCATCGGCAGATTGTGGTGTAACTCGCCCGGCGTTGCCTCCCTGTCTTGGTGAATGTGTATATTTAATGTGAATGTGGGTGGATTATTTAAGTTTTATTTTTTTTATTTCCTACAAGGATGACTCAAATATACATTGAGTAATAATCTGTCTGATGCAAGTTTTGACACATTTGTTTGTGTTTTACAGAAATTAAACTAAAACCACATGGCTCATTTGCATAAACTATAAGTGCTGGGGAAAAAAAACAGTGATTTTGACAGATTTTTGAGCACTGTGTACCACATAAAATCAGTTTGAGGTCAGTAAGCACAACCAGAATTAATACATAAATGCACTGGATTATAAGGGGCACTGTCGATTTTTGAGAAAAAAAAAAAAAGGATTTTAAGTGTGCCTTATTGTCCAAGAAATATGTTACATACATAAACATACACATACATACATGCACAAATATATTTTGTTTATGGTCATGTTACTACTGCACTGTCTCTCTCCCCCTTCAGAGAGCCAACCTGGAGGCACAGATTGCAGAGGCAGAGGAGCGTGGTGAGCTGGCAGTGAAGGACGCCAAGCTGAGGATCCGAGAGCTGGAGGAGGCTCTGCAGAGGGCCAAGCAGGATATGGCCAACCAGGTCAGACAGTACCAGGAGCTCATGAACGTCAAACTGGCCCTGGACATCGAGATCGCCACCTACAGGAAGCTGCTGGAAGGAGAGGAGATCAGGTGAGGAGGGGCAGCCGCTTGGAAAAATGTACTGATTTGTGAAGAACACTGAACAAAACTACAAATGTTTTGCTCTGTATTTCTTCTGAACAGATTAGCCACAGGAATCAAGACCAACATCTCCAAGCAGACATGTAAGTCTTTCAGCATGGATAGTGTGATTATGACCAACTGACCAAGTCCTTATTTGCACCTATAATACTGTGAATGAACTAGATTTACAAACTGGGAATGCTGTTTGGCTTTGGTGTAAAGACATTAAAAAAAGAGACTTTGATCGTGTATGGTCAAATAACATTGCAAATTCCTGATGAAACCTAATGAAGATCAAGTCCAGCATTTGTGTCTATCTTAGTGTAGTGGATCAAACAGAAAGACAAAGTATACAAATAAGCTTAAATTTAATAAAGTTTAAAAAAAAAAAGTAATTTAATAAAGGCTCAAATTAGATGAATCATTAACAAAAAGCCGGGCCCAACTGGGGTTACTTAAACCAAACTGAACAGAACAAAACTAACCCAACCAGAGAAAGAACAGGGCTGTTTAAATACACAAGGGTCAACTAAAAATGAATTACACTAAATAATTAACTAAAACTACTAACTTAATTAAAGTAACAAAAATGCAAATAATTATAATACAGAAAATTATAAGTGATAATAAGTTAACCTAAATCGTGGCTGTGATACTAAAAGTCTTTGTTAAACCACTTCTTGTGCAAAGTTCATAAGAAACACAAACATTTTAATCTTAAAAACAGTGAAAATGTTAAATGTGTTCGCAGAAATGAGTTTCCAGCAACAAAACTGTAGCTGTAACTAAATAATGCAGACAAAAATACCTCTTGATGATACATATCGATACAGCAGCCCATGATATTGATACTGTGTCATCACATTACACAATGTGATATATCACTATTTCGGTATTTTTGCACACCCCTAATAACTAGTGCTCCCCTTTGTTGGGCGTGGACAGCCTCTACCAAGAATCCTCTGTGACTCCATCTGGCCACTCAAACAAAAAGTGTAAGTCATAATTCAGACAAATGTATGCATCCAAAATTAGAAAATATAAGTCTAAATAAAGGAATTCAATTAAACAATGTGTGCAGTGGCACTAAAACCTTTCCTTGGCAGTATCAGCATCTACTCTCAATCAGTTTCAGATCAGTTAGTCTTAAACTGTGACAACCTTTATGACAACCTTTCCACTGTTACACATTTCTAAATCTCAAATGCACCTTTGCGCAGCTGTGAACTATAATGCGTACGGCCTGGAGAGCTCACGCACTCCCTCGTACGTGGCCTGCTCCTTTGGGGGGATGAAGGCGAGCGTCAGCCCTGTGATCTGCGTTGAGCCTCCCACTGTGAAGAGCACCACCGTGACTAAAACCGAGACTGTGATGGTGAAGACCGAGGAAGCCACACCGGTGCAAAAAGAGCCGGAGCCACAGGAACAACAGGAGCAACCGGAAGACAAGGAGGTCCAAGAGGAAGAAGCCATTGAGGAGAAGAAGGAGCAGGAGCAGGAACAGGAACAGGAGAAGGAGCAAGAGCAGGTGGAGGCTGAACCAGCAGCTGAATAAACCTGCACACGCCTGAGATGAAAGCACTACATTATCTTACACTGAGAATTCATTCACCAAAGTGCTCTTCAACTGCTCAATTGGGCCCTAAACTGGGTCATCTGGAGTTTGAGGTTATTGCAGAACTCAGTAACTTATCTTGTTTTTCCCTGTCCAGTTAAAGGTACACTAAGCATTTTTTCTGGTTCTCCATGGAGAGCTTTGCTTTGCCTGGATGCTCCACAGTTTAGCATTAAATGTAGAAAAGCAGGTGACGGCATCAGGCCAAGTTACATTGGGGATGTCTGATTTTCAAGCTATTTATAAATCAATGCCCAGTAACAAAAACCTGCAAGTTCATAAATGTGAAATATTTCAAGTTAATGTCATACTGTGGATTCCAGGCAATTTAAAATTGTTTCCATGGTGGCAGAGCCTCGATCAGAAAAGTCACATAGTGGACCTTTAACTGCAGTGGCCTCCCTCTCCAGTATTCATGTGAAGTTCTTCTGTCATGACTAAAACTCGAAAATAAAATTCTCTGTTTGAAAACTGATGTTGATGATGAGATTTATGATTCTTTATTCACAAAACCACAACTCAACCAATGGCCACAAGTTCTCAAACAGTTGTGAAAGTGAAAAAAAAGTTACTGAGTTTTGTTTGAAGTTTATAATCACACTGGTCACAGATAGGACCAGAAGAAGAGCTCAAAGTAATCATTTATTCAAGTACTTGTTTTAGCGTACTGAATTGACCTATAATAATGTCTTCAAGCACAATATACAACACAGTATGCATTATTACTGCTATGTGCCTTAACATGTACTTGAGTAAAAGTACTGAGCACCACTGTCTCAGTACACTGAGAACTAAAAGCACATGATTAAAACTAAAATGACTTTCCATGAGAGGTTCTAACACAACCCTGCACTGTACCTGGTTGCCCAGAAGGTGGCGCTGTTGCAAGTCTTGTCCCTGCTTTACTAGACACTGAAACTGCTCCTACTGAAATGTATCTGCTAAATAAACATCTTTCACAAAGAAGCTTGGAAGTTTTACAGTGTCTCATTTTTGTTCTTTGTCCGATTTGACTTCTGATTGCTACTACTGTAATAGCAGTAAAAGTAGATTGTATCAGGGAGTAGAAGATTTAAGAAAGGATTGTGTAGTTGTCTCATTAGTAGTAGCTGTAATAGTTGCATCACTAGGAAAATAGCTAGTAGTAGAAATACTTGTTAAGTAGGTAGTAGAAATAGTAGTGAAAGTAACAGCAGCATAAGTACTTGTAGTAAAATCATTGACGTAGAGTAGAAAAGTAAAAGCACTGACACAGAGTATGAGCAGCAGTAGTACAAAAATAAGACAGTAATAATTAGTAGCAGCAGTAGTAGTAATAACATTCTAATTTACTACTCAGTTCACTACTTACTTGGTGGGTAATAGTAAAAGCAGTGGAAGTAAAAACAGTTGAATATTTGTAGTAAAAGCAATGAAACAAAGTAAAAAAGTAGTAAAGTAGTAGCACTGATACAGGAGTACAAGCACCAGTAGCAGCAGCAGCAGCAGTAGTAGTAGTAGTAGTTGTAACAGTAGTAGTAGTAGTAACTTTCAAATTGAATTGTTTTGATCGGGGGCAATGCACAAAAGACATGAACCTTATAAAAAAAGAAATGTGCCGTGTACCAGGTTTTAGCAGAAAAAAAAAAAAATCAATCAATCCAAAATATGTATTGAACACACACGCACACATGCACACGTACACACACACCCAGAGCATTCACATGTTGACTCATCTTATTTGCAGCACTGATGGAAGTAATGACAGAGCTTTTTCTACAAAAATACTTTTTATCTTAAATAATAAAGGTGGTGCAGACAGTGTGGAGTATTGTCAGGTCATTTCCCATATTTCTCTTTGAGGTATCTGCAGCTCACACAGGTCTGAACTTGAGTCTGAATCATGAGCCAAACCCAGGATTTTAAAGTAAATAGCTTCTGTCTTTTGCTCTAAAATGCAAACAAAACTGTACAGAATGTGATTCCCACAAGAGCCACTTCTATTGCTGCTGCTGCTGCTATTAATATGTTCCATTCTTACAGTTCACAAAGGTCAAATCTTCTCACAGTGGAGGACATCTAATCCCCAGTCATGATGAAACCTGTATTGTAAAAGTTTGTTGACTGGTGAAAATAAGAAAAGTTTATAATATATATATATCTATATCTATATATATATATATCTATATATATCTATATCTATATCTATATCTATCTATCTATCTATCTATCTATATATATATATATATATATATATATATATATATATATATATATATATATATATATATATATATATATATATATATAAAGGTCATAAGGTAATGAGAAGCCTGGGTGGAATCAATGTACAATTCATGTTTTGCATATTTGTCATTTCTGTTGAAGCGTGAATGTAAAAAGGTGTGTCCATTCAATCGTAAAACACTCAATCATGAAAATATGTTCTGAGAAGATGCACTGGTGGCTGGAGCAGTAACAGTACCAGGTCTAAGTCCAAGACAACCCACTGAAGGCAAAAACCCTGATCCAGCCTTAAAGTCTAAGGAGGCATCCAGAGCCCACCAGTGCCTGATAGAATAACTCTTAAATATGTCTCCGTATTAGTTGTGTGTTTTCTGGTTGCTAGGTTTAGATCACGCAGTACATGAGTATGTAATTGTGTCATTATTTCACTAAAAACAGGTCCTGCCCTATGTAATGTTTTCAGTGTAATTACAGTAAGCTTGAGTGAAGCATGCTTAGACCTGCTCCAGTCCAGTCAAACTCCACACAGCCAATAAAGATGAACAAAGCGGGCCTGGTACACAGATTTAGAGTATTAAATGGTTATATTGTCACAAGATTTTGTTTTCTGACGTTTTGCCAACTCAACACAAATCATGAGAAATGTTCTCCACTGCTTCACACAGAAGATCTGTGATGCCAGATATAGAAGTAACTGTAGCGGTAGTTATTAAAGTAACAGTAGTAATTATTACTACTAGAAAATTCTGTAAGGAGTTGTAGTGATATAATCCTATTATTATCTCCACCTTGTGAGACATCTCATGAATGCATTGTAGATAGAAATGGGAGTGTTCCTCTGCTTTGGACTCTTTCCAAATAGTGGGGCGGGACCAAAAAAGTAGGTTGCATTTTAAATTAATCTTGTCTACATGAGTAATTGCATGTATTGACATTTTTAATTCTGTGCAATCCGAGTATTTAAGGAGAATAACCTGCTGTGTGGTGAGAGCGTATTGAGAACATATACATGATACATGAAAGTGAGTCAGCCGTCAGTATGAGCCCTGTGACTCACTGAGGCAAACCTGGTGCAAAGGTAAGAGAATACAACCACCCTCTGAGAAATCAGACTTTCTGACATGCAATTTGTTTCCAAGCAGTTAATGACATAACCAGTACTACCACTACTACTCCTCCCACCACCACTATTAACACTATTACTACTACTACTACTCAGAGTCTACTGCAAAAATCACTGCTGCCAGAAATTGACTCCATGACCTTCTCCCACTTTGTTTCCAACAACTATTGATCCTGAGCCCATGTCCTGGTGCTCTCAGAGAAATAGTAGTACTACACTGTTGTGACACAGGCACAGATGAAAGACCCGGTTACATAACATGAGCTAGTACTTGTTCTTGTGACTACATGACATGCATTCTGTTCTCTGTGACTGAGGGAGGGGCCGTGGATGCCAGTCAGCGCTTCAGACCAGCCAAACTTCTTCCATTATCGCCTCGCCCAATACTTTACAACCACATCTGTGAAAACCTTTGTGTTCTCTCACTAGCGGAGCCCTGCCACTCACACAGGCCCCGCACAAAGCAGACATTCATACTGTGAAAGAAGAAAAAGTGATCATTTTTAATATCCTACAGTAAGAGTGGTGAGGAAATGGACGTCTGTCAGTGTGTGTATCAAGGTGTCAGCTCTGCAAACATGTACGAAAGGAAAAGTACATGCACCACAGTTCAGTGCATTTACATTATGTAAAAAATGAAAGAGATAAGAGCTGTATTTAGAGATATAGAGGAACAGACCAGAAGAGCCAAATGTGAAGACGGGTGCAGACAGGAGCAGAACCACAGGAACAAACAGGTGCAAAACCAAAGGTGCAGAGCCAGGGGGGCAGACAGGTGCAGACAGGTGCAGAGCCCGAGGAGCAGACAGGTGCAGATAGAGCGTGTCCACATTACAAGGCCTGCACAAGATCATGAAAGTCTATGAATTCATTGGTTAGATCAGGGGTGGGCAAACTTTTTGACTCGTGGGCCACAAAGGGTTCCAAAATTTGACGGAAGGGCCGGACCAGGAGGAGATGGATGGAGTTTTTTGGTAATCCACTTCATGAGAGAAAAAAAATAACATGGGATATGTAGAAAACATCACATATTATTGAAATATCACATAGTTGAAAATCATTAGAACGAAGTCTTACAAGTCCCACGGTATTTATTACTTTTTATTGAAATTACTTTTAAAACACTGAAAATTATTATTATTTAAGTTCGGCGGACCCGATTAAAAAGCCTAAAGGGCCGCATATGGCCCCCGGGCCGTAGTTTGCCCACCCCTGGGTTAGATGATGCTAAGGTCAAAGCCCCTAGAAAACAGAAAGTCTTGAAATAGATCATTTCTAGATGTGAGAATAATGCAGAGCATCAGGTGAGAGGAATATTTGTGAATTAGCCTCTAACCCCAGAAAAAAACTCCTGTCTTCCACAAACACAGATTTAATTGTGTTAGGAAATTTTAACAGTTACTCAAGAGCTTATAATGAAACATGAAAGATATCTGAACAGTATGATGAATGCCAAACCTCAGTGAATTCTCTCCAGGGCATCCTGTGTGCTCGTGCAAACTGTCAGATTTAATGTTTTACATCGAGACAACACCAGAGGCACTCCTAAAATATCTCAGATTAATGTGTTCAATCCAGGATGAGTATGAACACATCAGCTAGTAGTCATTTCACAGGGATGACTTAAGGCGTAGATTTAGTCGTGGATTCGTCTGCAGTGAAGGGTGGAGATAAACCAGGAGATCTAGAGAAAGTGAACTGCCATTGTGTGAGAAAGGTGTGTCACTAATGTCAAACCAAGAAACTAGAACTAGCAGTGAGCTGCAGAGATGGGAGCAGTTCACTGCAGTTCAAATAAAGAACTTTTATTAGGATACAAGTACATACCTTTTGACATTAGCTGCAGGCTAATAGTAGCAGCTATAGCCACAGTTCAAACCTCTGTGAGGAATAGTAATAGTAGTAGTAGTACTGATAACACACTGCAGTAATGTTTTCTGATTGACAATACGTAACATGGGCTGAAATATCTACGCTTGATTTATTCAGTGCCCATGACTGAGTGGTCGGTGCACATGCTGGCTGGGTGAGTCTTTCTGTGTGCACTTAGTCCTGATCAAACCAAGCTTAACATTTGAAGACCAGACCCTGCACAATGGTCACCTATAGTCTCCAACAGCCGGGTCTTGACTTGAACCAGGAAGTGCGAGCACATGCACATGTGGATCTGGTCTGTGGTGTTTGGTCTCAGGGACTTCACAGCAGCTCTGCTTGTGCACAAGTCTCTTCATGGCCGAGCACCAAAGTACATCTCATGCATATTAGTGCCACGTGAACCATCTGCACTCTGAGGAGCTCAGGCACCGGCTCCCAGCTGTCCTGATTTAGTCCCTCAGCATTTCAGTTTAATACAGCTATAATCTGGAACACTCGTCCTGATGTAGGCCAGGTCTTTGCTCTCGCAATGTTTGAATCCCGGCTCAGAACAGTTTAGCTGCAAATGACTGAAGGTTTTTTAAGCAGTTTGCTGATTTGCTTTGTACGTAGTTTTTAAAGTATGAAGTTCTAGCAATTCGTTGAATATCAGTTTCTTCAGTTTTTGAAAATATTGGGTTTGTTGAGTCTCTGTATCCCCTTCAGCTGATGATTCTTACAG